AGACAGAGTCTTGCTCTGTCACCTCAGCCATGGTGCAGTGGTGTCATCATAGCTCACAGCAACCTCAAACTCTTGGCTTCAAGCTATCCTCCTGCCTCAGCCTCCCAAGTATCTGGGACTACAGGCATGAGCCACTATGCCCAGCTAATTTGTTCTATATTTTGTAGAGACGGGGTCTCACTCTTGCTCAAGCTGGTCTCAAACTTGTGAGCTCAAGCGACCCTCCCACCTCAGCCTCACAGAGTGCTAGGATTACAGGTGTGAGCCACCACACCTGGCCTGTCATTTTTTGTTAGATCCCTTCCTCATTTCCATCCCAAGAAGTTACAATAGGGGAAAAAATGGGTGGGGAGGAAAAAAAAAAGGAGTTCTGAAAATACAGATGAGAACACTGAAGTCCAACACAGATGCTTCACATTTTGGGTTTGTCCAGACCTGCTAATCCAAACATTCTCATAAAATTTGAACAGCTTTACCACTGAGTTGCTTTACAAAGTCCGGGTTTCCCTAAATGAACAGCTACAATTACAGTGCTGCTTCTAAAGATAGCAGTGAAAATGCTAACCTGGCCCGACTCTGCCAGCTGTGGTGGCCGAGCTCCCCAGGATGCTGTTGCTCTGGCATCATTCTGTTCCTCCGGAAGCAGTGCTGTATTTGCTGGTGCTCTGAAATCCTGGAAATGACTTCTGAGCTTTGTGGCTGTAAGAAGAGAAGAATGTAGGTGGATATGCACCCTTCTCCCACCCCCTCTCCTGTTGTGTCAGGTTAACAACCATGGCATATACATGTGATAATTATGTGGTTCATCAATAAATCATAAGCATAAGCCATATACCCAGGATCCTGAGCTGTAATGGAATTTTAATGCGTTTCAAATTTATAGCCGGTTTCTGATTATCCAGTTGAGTTGCCTGAGCATTTTGGTTCTGTTCTAGTCTACCTTTTGACAGATTTATTTCTTGGGACTATTTCTCCTGGTGAGTAATAGCCATGGACATGGGAGGCAAAATTAAAAATGTGTCCATTTTGCAATTTGCAAGGAGGTATCATTCCTGAGGTGGTTAAGGCACATTAAAATCGGGCTTTTAAAAAATTATAATTTTTCAGGTCTCAGAATGTTTGTGATTATCATGGGTATTTGAGTCATACCTATTTTAAAACACCTTTGGATATGTCATTATTTGATCTAGTAAAATAACCTGAGTAAGTTCAATTTCAGAGTAACTACATGATAGAGTTTGAAATCTGACAGAGATGGTACTAAAATGTCTTCTCCTACATTAATATTTTTTATTTTCCATATTAAGAACTCAGGCTATATATAGAAAGCAAGGCAGTCTTAGGAATATTTGGAGAGCCAAGGTGACATTGTCTAAAGTTTGTTGCTGGGGAAGGTTACACGGAATTTTATTTTATTTTATTTTTTGAGATACAGTCTTGCTCTGTTGGCTGGGCTACAGTGCCATGGCATCAGCTTAGCTCACAGCAACCACAAACTCCTGGGCTCAAGCGATCCTCCTGCCTCAGCCTCCCTAGTAGCTGGGACTACAGGCATGCGCCACCATGCCCGGCTAATTTTTTCTATCTTTAGTAGAGACGGGGTCTTGCTCTTCTCAGGCTGACCTCAAGTGATCCTCCCACCTCAGCTTCCTGGAGTGCAAGGCTTATAGGGGTGAGCCACCACGCCCGGCTGCTACATGGAATTTTAGACTGAATTGAAAGTACCATTTATCAACACCTCTGGAAAGATGTTTGGAAAGATTGAGCAGTTAATAAAGATTTAATGTCAGCTCTCAGGAAATAAGGTTAACAGGCTGTTAAGTGTGCCATTTCTTTTTCAACTACCCTCGCCATTGCCACTGTCACTGAAGCCTAATTCACCATGCGGTAGGAGTCAAAGGTGAATTGACACATAGTTTTGCCCAGGAAAGATTTTACCTATGGAATGGCCCAACTGTTCATATTAATTGTTTTCTCCGGAATTTGTAGGGGATTGATGACATCACTGGAGAACCATTAGTCCAGCAGGAGGACGATAAACCCGAAGCAGTTGCTGCCAGGCTAAGACAGTACAAGGATGTGGCAAAGCCAGTCATTGAATTATACAAGTGAGTGCGCCTCAATGTTTTCATCGCAAAGGGCCAACTAGGAAGGCGTGGAGCCTCCTGGGAAGGACATTGGGCTGAGGCAGAGTAGTGTTTCTTGAAGCTAGATAAACTCTAAAGACCCAATACCTCTTCAGAAGTCAGATGATGTATTGGAGTTGTACGTGTGAGATAAAATCCAGTACCTTTATCCTGAAACTATCAGGGCATAAGGGACTAAACCTTATCACCTCTGTCTGTTCTAGATATAAAATTGTACCTAGACTTATTTTCATTTTCCTTTTTAAGTGGCTGAGATAATGTCCTATATTTTGACACTCCCACATTTAAATACCTGATTTGGATAGAAGACTGGGGACTTTCAGTGTGTCCCTTCTTGACATGTCTGTAGGGAGTTTAACACACAAAAGCTAAAATCATAAGCTAGAGATTGAAAATTCAAATGGCTGTAGGGGCCAGGCAAGTATTGGAAACAGGGGAGATGTGTCAAGCTGGGCAGGTGAGTGACAGTTGAACTGGATAGCTCCTAGGCAGGCACAGCCAGTAATCTCCACAGGGGCATGCAGGCCCACGTCGCTAACAATTCCCATTTTTCAGGAGAAGCGGAAATCTGGCTTTTTGGGTGGGGGAAAATATGCCAGTTTTTATATTGGCAACAAATTAAACATTTTTAAACAACATGGGAGCCAAACAAAACCATATGCTCACTGCCTTCAAACAGCAGTTTATAGCCTCTCCTGTAATTGGTTTCTGACCTTGTAGTCCCCAAATAATTTAGCAAACCTTTAGATCTGAGTTTTGTGATTACATTATAAAACAGCCTGTGCTCCGTGATTGCTTATTCTAAGGAATAAGGGTTTTAGCATACCAAAACTTTTTAATGGTTTGCTTTTGAAAAGCACATTGTGCATTGCCCCTATGTCATTCTTGGATATGTTTTAAAGGGGAGAAAAGAAGCTGGCATGGCAAACATACCAGAATTGCAGAAGCTGTGGCCTTATTTAGGGACACCCAGTGGAAGTATTTATACATTTGAAAGGAGCTATTTTGGCACTTAGTGACCTGTGATATAGACCATGAAATTGTGTTTGTTTTGTATCTGGGGTCTTCCTCTGTCCTAATATGTTAAAAAGAAACCTAAAATGCCTTTGTATGTTGGACTTTCTTTTTCAGGAGCCGAGGAGTGCTCCACCAATTTTCTGGGACGGAGACTAACAAAATCTGGCCCTATGTTTACACGCTTTTCTCGAACAAGATCACACCTATTCAGTCCAAAGAAGCATACTGACACTGCCCAATGGAAGAATCAGGAAGATGTGGTCATTCATTCAATCGTGTGTGTAGTATTGGTGCTGTGTCCAAATTAGAAGCTAGCTGAGATAGCCTGCAGCATCTTTTCTAGTTTAAACGGTGAACTGATAGGAAAACTAACGAGTAGAAAGAATTCTGAAGAGGCCCTCCTCTGTCTTTCAAAAGAATGGTCACCTACCTATGTTTAAGGTGTCTCTGCACATGTTTTAAGCCTCTCACAGGGAAGCAAGTATAGGCTGGATTTGAAATGATACATAACCAGAGCTCTAGCTGATTTCTGATAGCCATGTTGTTGCTACAGTAGTCTTTCTGCACGCTATGGTGGTGGTCTCTGGTTCTCCCCAGCCCCCCAAAGACTGTTGAACTATAGTAAGTCTGAGAATGGCAAGGGCGCTAGTCCAGGCTTTCTCTGGTGTGTGCCCTCCTGGTGACAATGAAATTGAAGTTAATTGCTCTCAGTGGTTGTTTCTCTGGTCTTGAGTGACTATGTCCACAATTCATTTTTTTCTGGTAGGACTGACTCCTTTTCTGCATCCATGCTCCATATAGAATCTCCTTTTCAGACATCCTTGGATGAGAGGATTTAGCTTCTATTTTTTAAAGACTACATATTTTTTGCATTTGTTGTCTCTCTTCCTAGGCTATTAAGTATAGGCTATTAAATAATACAGATAGTTATTGCTGTTATCCCTCTCAAATTCTTCTAAGAATGGAGAGTGAAGGAACTGTATTGAATCTCTTCACTTACCAGGAATTGAGCTATGCAGAGGGTCTTACTTAAACTTGCTTGTCTGACTCTCATAAATTGACCCCGCTTCTTTCTTTTATTATGAAAAAATTAAACCCCTAAAAGTCTTTTGGGGACCCCCTAAAGTCTTTTGGGAATCCTCAAAAAGAAAAACCGTGGAAAATATTTACCTACATAAATGTTGAAAGACTATATCTTATATATAGAAGTAATAAGACCATATGGAATTACTGGACTAATAGAATAAATAGTTAAGCTTTTTATTCAAGACAACAAAATGTATTTTAAAAATGCTGCTAACTATCGATGCTGACAGTGTTTTTCTCCTGCGAGTGGCCCAAGCATATTATAAATAGTTGTTACAGAGAACAGAGCCTGTGCAGTTGAGCAAAATGTTGCACTAGCTTGTGCCTAGACTAGGTATGACAGCTTTAGGATTATGGGGAAATAAAATCTTTAATTTTTTTTTTCTGTTCCAAAGATGCATTCTGTGGGGTGGCCATAAAGTCTAGAATTAGATACTAATATTTTGTCATTCATCGTAATGGAATATCAATAAGCCATTTGTTAAAAGCTTTGCCTGGTTTCCAGACTTGGTGGCCACCTTGAATAATTCTTTCTGTCCTCTGGGAAGGACAATTAAATTTATTCCTGCTGCCTTAAAAATACATATCCCTTCTTCATGCATCATGACTATACCCAGCAAACATCCTTTACTATTCCTGGGAGTGACTTCTGTCTAACCCTTCATACTGGTGAGGAAGAAATGAAGCTTATTTCAGCACTTTAGTGGTGTTGAAACACATTATTTACTTTCTGAAGATGTCCCAGTGAATCTGAGTCAATTCATTGTCTTATATATGATACGAGCACATCTTCCTTACTCTGGCCAGTTCCTCTCCTTTTGTCCCTTTACGTGAATGTTCTTTGGCTACCTTAGTGGAAATATAGACCTCCTCGTTCTCTCAATGATAGTGAAGTAAGATGATTTACCTTTTAGGTTTATACAGTGAAGATGCCCCGTTCACGTCTATGAAACGTCAGTGCATTATATTGACTCTGAGCACTTTAGAATTTAGAACTGCAATTGAATGCCAGCTGATAGAGACAGGGTGAATGTTAGACATGTAGGTAAAGCTCAGGTTTCCTGGGGAACCAGGTACACAGAAAAACAATCTGATATGAGGAAAATTGCACAATGAGAGTAGTACTGCCATGGAGACAATTTCTGCAAACTAGGCAAAGTAGACAGTTATTATATGGATAACTCAAAAGAGGAAATTATGTGCTTTATTGGAAGCAGAAAAATCTTCAAACTTCTTTCTTCACTTATCTCTGTGTTTAGCAGACCTTCCAATGCGATCACTGCCTTTGGAGTTTGGGGAAGGGAATGGGAAAAGGCCTGATCCCTGTTTCCGTACTCTACTCTTCCATCCATCCTTCCCTCCCTCTTCCCTTCCAGCTAAATAGGCAATTGTAGCCAACATTGAGTCACTCAGGAAGTCTCAGCAATGTTTGATTTTGCAGTTGAGGATCCTTTGCTAGGTGAGACCAATAAGAGAAACACCTTTTTCATGGTCTTGGAAAGATGATGTTTGTTTCACGGTCAGTGGCCTTACAAAAAAAAAATCTGTTTCTGGTTTTTGTCAACCTTCTAGTTTTCCCTTAAGTAATTTTGTACAAATTAAAGTTATCTTGAAAATGTTTTGCCAGAAGTAAAATTAAAGGAACATCTTTTCTTGGTTTTCCTTCTGTGCTACACATGCAGTTCTTTCATATTTAAGCAAAGAAAGTAGTTTGGATGGTCTTTAAGATTCCAACCCAGCTCTTAATTCAGCTGTTCCATGATCTTCACAGGCTTCCCACTTATTTAGAACTTGGAAATGCTGCTGTGCTTAATACCCTCCAACACTAATGCAAGCTTATGACAGGTACCATTTATTGAAGGCCTATTGAGTGAAATGTGCAGCTTTAGGACCTTTACAAACATCTCACCTCATGTTTCTGGCATCCTGTGAGATGGGCATGATTCCACATTTATGAACAAAGAAGGCAAGAGTCAGGGATGTGAAGCATCTTGCCCAGGCTCCTGCTGCCAACGAACAGTGTAGCGGGGACGCAAACCCAGGTTTTCCTGACTCAGAAGACTGAGTTTGTTCTTGGATGTTAACTACCTGTGTCCTGTCCCAAGTAACCCAGGGCCCTGAGCCTGCTTGGTTCTGCTTGTAGCCTCACATCAAGAATAGCAGTCTCTGTATGAGAATGTTCTTTTTTTTTTTTTTTTTCCCCCTCCTTTTGCATAAACAAAGGAAGCTGCTAGAGGAGAGTCTGCCTTAGGCCTCCTCCCTAAGTCCTCATTTATAAATAGAATAATAGGCTGTCCAAGTGGGCTGGGCTTGGGTCCAGGCTAATCTGCAGAGGAGGGGAGCTCGTGTTCCTTACCTACCCTTTCTGTGTCCACTGCACTGTGTCCCTGAAACAGCCTTCACCTTTGAGCCATCCCCAGACATGGTGCTCACATGTGGGCCTGGGCTCCTTGGACAGATCCAGACACTGCTCACTTTCTTCCCTGAGATTAGAACAAATCACTCCCTAACTCCCTCTCCAAACAAGGTCCCAATGATAAACGAATCCTTCCCAAAGTGCTAGTAGGTGAACAAATGGTGATTAAGCATCTAACACAGGGTAACTCTTGACTTTGATACCATCGCCCTACATTATATTAATATTACACATTAACAAGACTCTGAATGCCAAATTCAAACCTTCACCCACCATCTGCTTGTCATGCAACAATTGTGGCAGTAACCAGAGGGAGATTCATTCCTGTCACTTCCCTGCCACCCTCCAGCAGCCAAGCTCACAGGAGCTCCATCATTACCCAAGGTGTGCTCCTCTCTTTGGCAGGGAAGGAAAAAGGTAAGTATAGGCATGAATGAGGGAGGATTCATAGAAGTATTTCTGTGGCCTTTTCTGCTATTTAAAATGTTGAGACAGGATAACTTTAGATAGAAAGATGCCTGCACAACCCGTAAGTAGTGTATCCTGAGTTCAATATTTGACTTCATCTATTTGTATAAGGAGTTTAAGCCTGCTGGGGGTCTTTGCTCAAATCACATATTTCCAAATGTGTTAATATATAGGCATTCTTGATTACTATTTATTTACTCCACACTAAGCACGTTACTTGCATTGTCTAATTAAATCCTCAACCGTTACCTGATGTAATTAATTGGTAATTGATAATAGATATTATTATCTCAATTAACTTGCCTCCTTATATTTAAAAGCTGAAATAATCCTGTTTATTTAAACATGTATTTTCATGTACCTATAGGGATTAATCAGGAAATTTAAAAGGGCCTTTTTTGTACCTTTCCCCAGTTTGAGCTCCCCATTCTCATTCGTAGATAAACAATGTGTTCACTCCGGCCTGGAATCTTTGCTTTTGGTGCTCTGGTGCTGAGACAGGAAAAGGGCACTCAGTGGGTCACCATGGTAGTTGCACACTGTATATACAGAGGGCACGTATCTCATCTGTACTCTGCTGGGTTACAGGATCTCAGGAGGCATTTGTGTCCACCTGATCAATTTCCTTTATTACCTTTCATTTAACACACAGTGTCTTTTCTTCCTGCAGTCGATTTTGCCAGAGAGGCAATTTATAAGGTGAAGGCCTGTTCACAGTACGAATTGCTTTCTTGTTATCCTCTTCCATTTTTACTAACTCCTTGGTCTGTTTGGTGTTTCAAAAGAAGAACCCAGTAATGGAGACTTCTTTTAATATGGGAATGTGGTCTGGTCATAAGTTATCATTCCTTTCCATATATAACTAGCCCAGTCTTGTTTCCAGATGAGAAATGTGCAAGACTCAGATGTTGAGAAACCATGAAACCGTATGTCAACTCTGAAAAAAATCTGCTTCCTGCTTCCATTGAGACATATTATAATTAACATTGTTTATATATGCCATACCTTATCTTCCTTGTAACAAATTGCACAGTTCTTGCCAGAATAAATGCCATTATCTGTATGCTTCGGGGAATTCCCCAATTTGATCGTTTTGTGTGTGTGAGAGATTTGGTAAAACATTTCCGAAAGGGTGAAAGCTCTTGTATGGCATAGCTATGAATTTCTTCTGCTAGTAATAATTAGGTTATCCAGGAAGCACAGTGTCATTCTTTAAATAAAAGATTTCCTGTTTAAAACTTTTCACAGGAGCATACCACCTTGAAGATTCTCCCTGGGGTTGATGTGTGTCTAATTTGTTTTAGAAACCATTCTTTTCTTCATTTTAAAGCTTCGGCTATAAAGTCAGAAATGTACTCAATAAAAGCAAACTATTTTGTATTTAATTTAGAGAAGAGTAAAGGGAAGAAAATGAAAACTCCGTCTTTTTGTAAGCTCCAAGGATATTAGGGCTTAGAGGGCTTTTCTAGTTTTATGAGAATTTGTACTACTGAATTTTATATATTCTTGTTTTTGAGATGAACAGATCTCCGGGGGGAAATTGTTGAGTTACAATGGCATTTCACTGTGATCCCTCTCAAGCTCAGATCAGTTCTCTAACCCAGTGACAACCTGTCTCTTTGGTTTACTGTCCTGTGAAATGTCAGCTCAAGTTTCCCCGGAGTCGTGTGTTTACGATGAGTCAGAGTGCTTTTCCTCAGTGTGACAGTTGTTGGCCTTCTTAATTTTGGTGTATGTGCTTAATTCAAATATCTAAACCTATAGTCTGATCTGTATGTGCTATCCTGTTAATTGTATTATTGATGATTTTGGTTATCTTGCTTGAAGATTGATTAATACTTTTCAATTTGATAGAAATAAAAGGTTTTTTCTGCTTGTAACTAGTGAATTCATTTAATGTTTCCATAGCTTTTTACACTTGATAATATAAATTTTCACAGATACTCTCATTTATGCCACTGTGCAACTACTACATCATCAACAGTGTTATCTCCAGTTTGCAGATGAGAAAAATAAAGAACACATGTTACCTGGATAAGGTGACCGTTGGTGGCGAAGCAAGATTCTGAACCTCATAATTATTATCCCCAGTCCCATTTTTTAAAATTATGATTATTTTTTAGAAATAGGATCTCCACTCTGCTGTCCACGCTGGAGTGCACGATCTTGGCTCACTCCCACCTTGAGCTACTGGGCCCAAGGGATCCTCCTGCCTCAGTCTCCTGACTAGCTTGGCTTACAGGCATGTGCCACCATGCCCGGCTAATTTTTTCTATTTTAAAAATTTATTTTAGAGATGGGGGAGGTCTCACTACTCTTTGCCCAGCCTAGTCTTGAACTCTTGGGCTCAAGTGATCCTCCTGTGTCAGCCTTCCTAGTAGCTGGGATTACAGGCACCAGTCTCTGTGTTCAGTTCGTTTTCTTTTCTAGTACATCATATTGCCTTATTTTCTATTTCCTTATTCCTTTTTTGTCCAGCACTTTATTGTTTACACTTTTTTTGAGATGGTGTCTCACTCCGTCGCCCTGGTAGAGTGCAGTGGCATCATTGCAGCTCACTGCAACCTCAAACTCCTGGGCTCAAGTGATCCTCCTGCCTCAGC